TCGGTCATCATTGTTTCCTTGTCCATCTGTGCTCCTACAGGTCTGAGGGAGCTCACTCTGAGCGCCAATCCCCGTATCGGCTCCAAAGGCTGGGCCCGTTTCGCCATTGCTGTGGCCCACAGCTCCCAGCTGCGTGTGCTGAACCTGGACTACAACCCACTGGGTAAACCGATACCAGAACCAACGGAACAACCTGTTCAGCTCTTGGGGTCTGATGATGTGCTTTTGTCTCCAGGAGATCAAATTGCCGCCATGCTGGCGGTCGCTGTGGCATCAAGCAGAACCCTGGAAGTCCTGGACCTGGAAGGAACTGGACTGACCAACCAGTCAGCACAGGTCCCATGGTTACAGCGCCTCTTTGTGCTTTTCATCACCGCCATGCTCTGTATTTGTGTTGATAGCCAGGTTTCTGTGTGTCTAGGTGTTTCTGGACATGGTGGAGAACTACCCGACCAGCCTCAGGGTTCTGGTTCTGGCAGAGAATGACATCAGTCCTGAGCTGCAGCAGCAGATCAGCGACCTCCTGTCGGAAGGGGAGGAGGAAGACAACAGGGAGGCCCCGCCTTCACTCCGAGGCCACGCCTCCAGCACAGAGAAGCACCAGCCCCTCCCCTGGCTCCCCCACAGCAGTAAGGGCTGAACCCTCCCCTCCCCAGTCACCCGTAACAGCAAGACCCCTTCAGACTGAAACCAGATCCAGTCCAACAGACTTCTACCTTTTTAGAGTCTTGGTTCTGTTGGGCTTAGAACCGATCAGACATGATCTGGTTCTGTTTGCTGTGTGGTGTTTACTTGTCCTCTGTATCAGTAGGAGCTTTGTGTTTTCTGTAATGAGTGTGAAAATGGTGTTAATCTGCTCCCAGTTCTGGCAGAATAAGGCTGTTGATAGTAATTTATATTCAGTTTTTATTTATTTCTATCCTTTCATCCTTTGTGTGGTTCTAAAGTTCTGACTTGAATCTGGTTCCTGCTGGTCTTCAGTAGATGATCAGAAACCAGAGATGTTAGGGACTCTTTGAATCACTAACAACTTAAAACTGGTATTTATATCGTTATTTAGATTATGAGTTTAGATCAACAGAAGAAGCTCCTTTATTTAGCTTAGCGAGGCTAATTTTCATTAGCATGGTGATTTCTTCTATTCTTGGCTAAATGTTAATGTAGGCGAATATGCTAATATGTTTAGAGGATAAAATGAGCTATCAGCTCATTAGAACAATTTAATACTGACGTAATTTAAACATATTTACATATCAATAACAGGAGGAAACGTTAGTTGAGGCTAACTGAACGGCTAGTCTAATGTTCTTGATTCCAGCGACATTTTTAAACATGTTTCTTTTCTTACGTTTATTGTAAAGGAGGTTTACTTTGGTTTCTCTGCTGAAGGATTTTCTCCCAGAATGTTCTTGAATGTTTTACACCTCAGTTTCAGTCCAATCAGCGATACGTCCAATCTGCTCGAGGCCCCGCCCCTTCTTCCTACGTCACCATACGGCAACTCCATTCGGACAAACTGTATTGCACCCGTTTCTTAAGCATCAAATCTCCTTTGGAGTCTCAACATATTTCCTATATTTGCTATTATTTTAAATTTAATCGGCGATCTAAAGTAGCTGAAAGTAGAAAACAATCATTGTCAGTCTGGAAGGAAAGTCCTGTCTTCTAAGACAGACTTTGCTCTGCCATTTAACAAGGAGACACTATGGCGTACTTTGGTGACACAGTGGTTAGAGCTAACAATCCATGTATGGAGGCCTTAGTCCTCGACGCGGGCGAGCCGGGTTCGAATCCAGTCTCTCTCCCTTTCCTGTCAGCCTACTGTCTGTAAATACGAGCCACTAGTGCCGTAAAAACTGAAAAAAAACAAAATAAGACATTTAAAACTCTCAGCTAATTTTTATTCTTTTTATTAACATCTGAGGTCAGAGGCGAACAAATTAAACATCTTAAAAAAAGACTTTCAAAGAGATTTTAGACGAAGAAAACAGTTATTCTACAGTTATTCTACGAACAGTTGTTGATATGAAGTTAAAAGTAGTTTAGCTTAATAAGGCTAACTGACTGAGCTAAACGGGGCTAACCTGTTAGCTACCTAGTACAGCTAGCTACAGCGCTACCCAGATTTATTTCAGTTTTGTTATCAATCAGGTCAAACTTCATCGGTCATTGGACACGCTAACGCTACAGATGCTTCCGACTCGGCACACGGACACTGCGTGATGTT